TTGGACTCGATCTTAAGGTCCTTTCCAACCTCAGTGATTCTATGACTCCCTACATAATGCAGAAAAACAAATGCACGAATTGGGATCCATTAGTGTGGTAAAAATGAAATCTCCTTATGTTATGTATTATCATTAGAAAACTGCTAAATCGTGATACATTCTGTCCTATCACGAACACTTTGAGGCCACATAAGATTCCCCAGTGTTCACCATCACCGCTCCAACATAAGGTTCCAAACAGAAACATTTTTTCTAAGAACTGCGTCTTTTACTTTATGAATGTACCTTGTACCCCAAGAAACAGCTCCAAATCATGTGGGAAATCCACACGGCCTCCTCTTGGCAAAAAAGTCTGGATAACATCAGCTGCTAAGAGAGAAATACAAGTGTAATGGGTGTGAACACAACATCCAAAACTGAGAGGCCATTTGCTCAAAACCTGGTAAGGCTGAAAATTAAGACAACCATCAGCTACACTGAACACTAACCAAGCAGTTACCAAGAGATCTTGGGTGGAAAAAGAGTCAGCTTAAAATCAAGTAGAAAAAGCGCTAAGATTTCTAACAGTGAGAAAAAGAGAAGCAGTCAAAACCTGCTCTTGACAGTGAGAAGATGCCCTCCTGGCCATCTCGAGCTCTGTGGAGGCCTGAGGAAGCCCCTGACCAGAGGCCAGGAGTAGCCTGCATGCCTGCCAGTGGGCTGACAACACAGCACACAACAAGCAGTGACTGCTCCTGGGGTGTCTGCATGTCACCTTGTGGGGTGCTATCCAAACAGACAGGAGGCTTAGTAGAGCGTAGGCAGCAGGACAGGTATGCATGGAGCTACAGCACCCACATCTCCAAAGGAGATGCCTGTAAAGAAGGTAATGGATTCCTAGAAGCGTGGGCTCTTATAACCCAAGCCTCCTGCTAAAGGGACAGAGGTGAGCATGTAATGCAAACTCGTGGGGAATTGCTGCAGAAGTGTTTAGATATCTGAAGGTGTTTACTAAGGTTTTGTAGGAGTCTAGAACAGCCACTTACATGTTATATTGCTGCTATTAATCCTGCATGTATAGCTCATGGACTAACAGTTAATTACAACAAATTAATTACTACTAATAAATCAAACCACTTGGATACTAACTTGATTTTAAGCCATGAATTGTTTTCCCCTACAACAAGCACATGCGCTCTCAAGTGTTTTTGGATACTAACTTGATTTTAAGCCATGAATGGTTTTCCCCTACAACAAGCACATGCGTTCTCTTAAGTGTTTTCTGCTTCACACTGATGTGCCACCTTTGGCTAAAACGTCAAAGTCTCAGGTTTTTCTTTTTTTTTTTTCCTTCCTTCTTCTCCTTTTCCTTTACCTTAGGGCACCTAAGATATTCAGGAAATCAATCAACTAGCTGTATAGGTCGTATTTGCTTCAGTACTCAGACTGATTCCAGCCAAACTACTACAATAACTGTACTCCCCCAAAACGATGACTCCAAAACCTGGACCAAAATAGATCATGTCTTTGAAAAGTGGACATTAAGTTCTTGGATTAGACAAATGAAAATTTAAAAGGTTTAACATATACGCTAGCTTTTCTAATGTAGCTTTATGAGCAAGATGCTCTAATGAATTTAATCCACCAGATCAGATCTTTGTATCAGGAAATTCCAAATAAACACCATATGAAAGACTGGTGTGTTTCTCTACCTGCAACTGACAAATTTAGTTTTGGCTCACTTATAGAAAACATTGAAAAAAAATTGCCATTCATATTTATTTCTTTTTTAAGCAGAGCAAAAAAAATTACAGTTAAATTATTTAATTTTGTGTAGTTTGCTTCGGAACTCCTGCTGATAACATTTTTATAAATTAAAGGTAATCAAGAATCCTTTCCCATGTTTTAACTTCACAAATTTTCAGAGTCTTTTGAAAGCACAGGAACTCAAAAATCTAACACTTGGGTTACAAAACATCGAGCCTCATGATCATCCCTATATCCTAAGACTACTGACATAAAACTATACATTGACAGATGTTGTAATCAAAGACGCTGAACAAGCATGCTTACTGATCCATGACTCAGACCTTCAGAACCTTTTGGAGGCTCAAAAATATTAAATGCTGATAAAGCGTTAATGTGCTTCTTCTAAAATTTGTTTTTTTGTTATTTGTGAGCTCCTAACTTTTGATTAGTCAAAATAATTATCTCCCAGAATTCTCTTTTCTTTCTTCTGTAATCAAGATTAAAGCATTCCATATTATGCATCAGGATTTTGAGAACTATGCTTACAAGAGACATTATGTCACCTTAGCAACCACTTTTTAGAAGTAGTTTTAAAAAAACCTGATTTTGAACATGCATTTAACAGTTCAAAAAAATAATTTCTAGACTAGCAACTGGCAACAACATTCTTCTCGGCTACGATTTCAGAAAGCCATAAAGACTTAAATCTGAAAAAGAGAATCAAAATATAACAGTGTCTTATGTGACAAAACCATCTGTTCATAGTAAACTGATTGTTTTCAAACTAATTCATGCAAGTGCCGTAGGAAGAAAGTGGCTAGTGGAAACCACAGTAATCTAGAATTCCAAGAAGAAATACTACAAAAAGGAAAATTGCAGTTAAAAAACACACATAAAAGGCAGTAATTGAAATATAGTCAGCCAGGGAAACGAATACCTTACCTGTCAGTTGCATGCCTCCTAATTCCAACCAACACTGCTCCAATGCCGTATTTATCACTTCCCACTTCTACTACTCCCCAGTCAAATGCTAGGAAGAAAACTACTCTTCCATTTCTCCCTGTCCAGAAGGTACCTTCCCCCATTAACAACCACATTCTTTCCTACTTTACTGTTTATATATTCTATCTGTCGAATACAGAATCGAAGAACTGGAAATCCTTCCTTTTCTTGGTAACTTAAGGGAGTGCTTGAAACAAGAACAGTAGGAGCACCTCTCCAATTAACATTTACCCAGCACATTCCACCTCCTCATTCCCTTAACACATCTGAGTCACAACCACCAGCTCAAGTGACTGGAAATTAACCTACTAAAGCAAAAATGCAAAAAGTTACACAGTCATTTGACACAACTTCATAGAAACCTATATTTGGGAAAGGACAGAGTTTCCCCTTGAAATAATGGAATTTTGTTAAAGGCAGAAAGGACTTGTAGAGAGATGCAGTATCTTGTATGAAGCCCATTGATGTACTACGAAATAAATGAAGGCTTTCAAGCAGACAGGCTCTTCTTTTAGATTTAGTCTTAACATTAAGGGTTATAAAGGTTATCAGACCACTTATACCCTCTCTCCCTTTTTCCAGGGTTACTGTTATTTTCCAAGCAAGACAAAAGATGAGCTCATTACCCTTGAATAATCACAGATTAGGCTTGTAAGAAAAAGCAGGATGGACAATTCCTTCCCTCCCTATCAGGATGTTTTGTACCTCCTCTACCCATTTCTTATTCTAAGCCAAAGCCTGGTAGGTGAAATAAACCCCCAAATTAGGCTCTTGAATTCATCTTCTAGCCCGCTGAATACTGTGTGAATATTTTCTTTTTAAACTGCATTTGTTATTTTGAAAATTTAATATCGGTTAAGCAGTAGGCAGTAACTTCAATATTGTATTAGTCTTTGAATCATAATTCAATCATCCCTGACAGAATATGAAGGTTTCTGCCTACCTTGCCTATTTGGTGTGTGCCTCACCATTCCGTTAAACTCCACCTGCTGGGTAATCTTCTTATAACAAGCCTAGAGAAGCTTTTGCCTCGCCAGTACTGAAACAACACCTAGATACAACGATAAAACTGATTGAACTGCATACCTGATTATATATTCTTCATGCTTTTCCTTTCTACCATTCTTTATCAGTACTATAATCAAGCAAAATCACTGGGTAGGTTAGTTTTTCTGAACAACTCAGGTTAATGGGCCATATTTGTAACTAATACCAATTTCTGGTAATCATAGAAGGGTTATTATATACAGGAAAAGTCATAGCTCCATGTCACAGCTAAGGAGGAAAAAGCGTACTTTACGCTTTTCTGCCTCTAATAGTAGAAAAGTGGAAAGTAATATGTAAATGTATTTTTTTTTAACTAATACTTAGAGATAGTATCACCTTTAAGTGCTATGAGACAAAAGGACAGGTAAAAAAAAGCCATGAAACTCCAAAAGATTACCAACTCAGAGAATGCCCATTCTAAGCAAACTAATTTGAAACATACACATCCAGCTGAGTGTTGGGTGACTCTTCTGCTTGCTGCTCCTTTCAGCAAATCGAGTCAAGTTGTGATACATACATCCTGTCAGAGCTACAATGAAGCATCCATCTTTATGGCTGAGCTCTACTATTCCTGTTCCAAAACATTTCTAGGTTTGGGGGTGGAAGGAAGAGTAAATGAATTTGAGGGCTGCAGGTGAAGGGCAGCAGCCTGAGATATTTTCATATTACAGAACTTACTTGACTATTTCCTTATACACGAGTCAAACATTCAAATTTCAAACAACAACTGACAGTAACTTTTTACCCATCATTTCCAACCCACAGAAAACATAACAATTTAGACCTGTGTATTGGCTGATATTTTGTTTTATAGGATGTCTTATAAATACACTTGCCACCAAGTACCATTCTTTATTATGATCTACCGTCCTTTCAGAATAATGAAAAAATAATGCAGGGTGATATACGCTCAACACTTGCAAATCATACCTGGAGCAGTCTATGATACCGAAATGCTGGAAGAGGCATTACATTTGAGAATAGTAATTTAATCAGAAGTTGGGAGAGCGTGTATTGGCCTAGAATACTGCTCAAACATTTCTCTAGAAACAAAAAATGAACACCATTTTACATAGCTGATGTTGTAGCACAGGCAGTAAAAAACCCAAAAAACCCTGCTACGTGCAGATTATTATCATTTCAGAATGTCATCACAAAATAAGACTATCTGCAATCAGAAGTTTTAGAGAAGCTTCAGGATAACTATTATTTCTCATGAAGAACTATTTTTTTCCTCTTGAAAGAAGTCCATCTATTTTTGCCAGATCTCCAAATGAAACTGTTGCAGAACCTCTCTGAGCTGGTCTTGCCTAAGAAAAGAAGAAGAAAAAACCAATATATAAGGCTAATTTTGAGTTAAAATATTTTGTAAAAAGCTTTTCAAGCATCAGTAATTTAAAAAGTACCTTGAAAAAGACAATAGTTGAGCTTCACATTACCTGTGATTCATGGAATTTCCAGCCAATCATGTAGTAGATCTGAAACGTGGCAGGTACTGAGCCGTCACTATTTCCGTACATTTCTGTTAGGGCAGGAAGGGAGAGAAAAAAACGTTACACAGAACATCAGTTCTAAGAAATACTTAGTTCTCAGAACATTAGAACTAGGTATGACATATTCATCATAATGACTCTTGGTGAAAGATTTGGGACAATAAAAATATCTCATACTGCTGCATCAACATAGTTCAAATCCTGTCATTATAATTAAGGTTAAAAATATCTGTGCCACAATGGTATTTGGTTCTACACCAGAATGTTTTTTTCACGCAGAGGTCAGAGAAAAAGACAGAGAAAATATGTTCTTCATGTCGTTTCAGATTAACTCATTCTCTCTCAAATACTTACCTCGGTATATCGCAGCAGCTGCCAACATTGTCTCCCTGTGCAGCAGAGGTTTTCTATTCCAAGAGCAATTACTCTCCCCCATACCTAAAAATATGTTTTAGCTTTAAGAAAAAGAAGATATAGCATATGGCATGAGTTAAGTGTCATGCACTAATGACAGATTTTTATTAAACCAGAATAAGTACAGAATCCTCTCAATCTCACTGTAAGAGAGAACAGCATACCACAAATAATTAGGTGAGTTTCTTACCTACAAGAATCCAAGCCTTTTAATGCCAGTGCTTTGCAATTTACAACTTGTATCGCTAGGAATGATTTCAAATTACTACTTCAGCCTGAGTCTCCAAACATTTAGGTTTTCTAGCATGATTTAAAGCACGAGTGCGTAGTGTTCATTCAGACACACTGCTCATACGTAGCTTTTTGTGAAGATAAGCATCAAAATTACTAACCCAAGAGATTTTTTAATAAGAAATAAAATAACCACCGTTCTAATCTCTTTAATACCTTACTGTATCTCAATGTTTCTGCAAAGAATGAAAGTTTTCTTTTCATTAAGGAATTACTCTAAAAACCAGCAGCTGATCCAGAGTAAGAAGATGCCCTGAATTGCTCTGTAAGTAACAACTGACTGCACATGAACGACTGCTTCAACCCGTGACAGACGCAATCAGAATACCAACTCAAATGTTAAACATCTCAATTGTTGTTTTTTTTTTTTTTTTTGTTCCTAAAACGACTCCAATTTGAGGGTCCATTTATTCTCATTCCAAAGCAGTTTCCCAAATGCCCTGATAATTAGGGAGGTTCGCAGGAAAAGTTAGTATGTGGGATATATGCTTCTGTCTCCCTTGCAAAGCTTGTCAGCACTTACACTGAACAGGCTGAAAAAGAATGGGAACACAAGGGAAGCTGACAGTTTTTCTGCTTCACAACACCAATTTGCTGACAGGCACAACCTCCTGACTCACTAGAGATGAGGAAAAAAGTAATGCTTTCACTGTTTCAATAAGCTTTATTTATTATTTATTTATCTTTTTTAAAGGAAGAAATTTTTCCCCATGAGGGTGGTGAAACACTGGAACAGGTTGCCCAGAGAGGATACAGATGCCCCATCCCTTGAAATGTTGACGTCAGGTTGGGCAGGGCTCTGAGAAACCTGATCTACTTGAAGATGTCCCTGCAGGAGGGTTGGACTAGATAACTTTTAAAGGTCCCTTCCAACCCAAACCATTCTATGATGTGGAGTTCAGAAACAGTGAAACTTTCCGTGTCTGCATCGCCGATACACAAAACATTCATGTTTCCACAGAGGATATACTTGCCTTGCAAGTCTTCCATAACCTCAAACAACCCTGGATAGTTGACCTGAATTTCATCAGTATCCTAAAAGAATTGAGAAGCTTAGTTTTAGAGCACACCAAGCTAAAATAGTAACATTATGCAAGCCTCCAGAGCTGCTAACGGACTACACAATCTGCCACTTCTGTTCAAACTGCGTAGTTCTCAGAAGAATATAGTGTCTTAAGACTTCTAAAAAGTTTTCTTTAGTAGCCCAAATGCAATCAAATTTTAATTCAAATGCCATTATTTTCTTCTTGGTTTTAGAAGAAACAGCAAGAGTGCCTGAAGTTTTTTCAAGCAGGTCTAACACCCTCTGACATTTCGCCAAGAAGACCATCCAAATTCTACTGGGCCACTAGCCAAAGACACACTTCAGGTGGTTTCACTAATCACAGTAAAGCTGAGAACAGAGGCAGCCCAGGCTATTTCAGAAGTTTATTCAGCAAGGTGTGCGACATGCAGAAGGAAGCACTACATTACTAATACATTCATAAACAGTATTTTTATATACCAGCAGCTCTGATGTGCTGGATTGTTCTATCTGATTATTCTTTTATTTATAATTACCACAGTGAGGGTGTTGAAGCCAGCTCTCGACAGCAGATGTCCCAAATCGGAGACAGCAGTGAATGGTGACACGTGAGGAGAAAATCCCCCTTCTCTCTCCAATTCTGCTAGCTGCAAAGAGCAGCGAAGCTCATACAGAGTGTCTCCCCCAAACATTGCACCAATGAATACTCCATCTGGCTTAAGAACCTGGTGAATCTACAACATAGGAAAAAAATTAGTGTGGGTTTTTTTTTGTTATTAGGCCTATGTAACAAGAAATTCTTACGACCATTTTTTTATTTAAACGAATTTAAAAGCAACCATTATAATAGTTGTAACAGATTTTTAATATTGACTGTATTCCACAAGGCAAGCTGCAGCAAAGCTTTTGATAACATTGCAAGATAAATAATCTGTCTGAAAAGAGACTATTAAAGAGTGAATGCCCAGAAATCACACTCACTGTCAAGAAACACGAAAACCACTGTGGACATCTAGGGTATAACCATTTTCAGTGAGATACTCCTAAAACAATAACCTCAACTAATTTACTTCTGAAAACAAGGTAGATTAAGATAGTAAAAGTAAGCAGAAACTTTCTCAGATGAGGGCAGCAAAAATACTTTCTCATGGCTGGATTTAAGAGAAACGGAGGCCTCAGTTTCCAGCAGTGATCTCTGCACTTCTGAGCGCACAACAGAGTAATGCAACTCTTACTACGCTTACCCCTACTTATTTTTAACTAGCCAGAAGAGCAATATCATGACTCAAAAGTCAAGATTGACAGGCTGCTTTCTTGCCCACTAAGTCCTACCCCTCTTCCTACTGAAAAGGCCAACAAATCCATGCTTTCTTTTTTCCTGAAGAATTGGCAATGATCACTGGTTTAGATATCCAGAAAAGCCACATATCATAATCAAGCTAACAAGACAGCAAAACCTTCAAACAGTTTACCTTACTGATTCCAAATAAAAATCTTTTAAACTTGTTTTTAATTGGGTATTAATCAAGCTATCATTTCTACGCTAATGCAGAAGCCTTTAATTGACAGGTAAGAAATTCCAGCAGTTGAAGACAAGTTTCCATCTAAGCCAGTGGTCCCAAAGTAGGAAACAAGCAAAGCATTAATGATGAAAGTTGGCCAAGAATCTCAGTTCCCTCCCCTTTGTTGGACATATTATATAACATGTCAGTTATTTTCACCCACAGTAAAAATATTTGACACTCCACAGAACACTAAATTCTAGAAAAAATTATATATTTCTTTCCAAGTTGTTTTTTTTTTTAAATAAGTACTGAAGGCATTCCAATTTCTATTTTTAGTATTTCTGTAACAGCAGGGTACACCTATTCATACCAACGGGTGATAAAATAACACTGTAATGACTGATGAAATAAATGAAAAAACAGCAAATTGGTTGAAATATTCCTTGCTTTTGGTCCCAAGTTAGCTGATTTGAAATAAATTTTCACCTGCAGGAAGGAGCTGAAACAATCCAAAATCAGATTTTTTTCAGTAATAGTTTCAGTTTTCTTTCCTCAACAGGTATTTGCTTCATTTCAAAATCAAAAAGCCTTTATCTGATTAAAGTTGTATTACAAAATAAATAGCTGAGACATAAAAATAATACAAGTTCCACAAACCAGTTCTGGAGAAGTTAGATTCAGAAAACTCTTGTATTACAAGCAGTAAGAGCTAACGCACAATAAAAATCAATAGCACTGCCTCAGTTTACATTAGTTACCATGATGTCAGCTGTTGAGACTATAAAATATCAAATAAACATGTTGTTTCACTGTTATTCAGAATTTATGTGAGACAGTAAATTAGCAGAATATCAACTGATGCTCCTTAAACTGCTAAAAATACTGAAAAAAAAATACTTGTGTGCAACACGAACTATTTCTGTGCCTCTTTAAAGAAGACCTAGAAATATAGAGTGCTCTGAATGCAAGTAGTTTTAAGTGTTGATTTTTAGTATTAAAAACCAGTTTCTTACCTCTCTAAAAGCTTTAGGAAGGTCATTCACCCAGTGTAAACTGAAATAACAGAAGCGTACATTTTATAATTACATATTAAACAAAATTTAGGGAATGCAAATAATTGTTACATTATTTAAGCATGTTTCAGAAGCCAAAGAAACTAACTAGTTCCTCAAGGTGCAAAAGTTCTGAAATGCCTGCCTATGAGTGATACTAAACAAAAGGTAAAGTTCATACAAGTAGCTTTTTTTTTTCCTTAAGTTGAGAAGGTGTTAGCCCTGGAGACTAATTTGTCAAAACATAGGAAAGAGAGAAGTTACATGTGTTTCGAAAGAAAAACAAACAAACCAACCAGGAAGAACCACCAGGACAGCAGCTTTTCCTGTTGCACACTCATATTAATTATGCAAGTACATTTCTAATTGCTGTTTAATGGACTATTAAACGTTCTTTTTTTTTTTTAAAGTTACCCTGAAAAGAACGTTATTTAACATTTTTAACCAAAACATAAAATGTAAATAATTAAAGCCTACCTTAAGCTGCTAAGAACAAGATCAAAGGTGTCTTCTCTGAAGGGAAGGAATTCCTCATCAGCTACAACACTGACCGTAGGGATTTCAGATTCTACAGCATTTTTCTAATGTTGGGTTAGAAGAAAAAGAACATAATGAACTCACTTCTTTTGCTTTTCGGTATTGCAGAATTGAAGAACATTAGCATTCAAAAAGCTACTTACTAAAGCATTCTCTGCAATATCAACTTGAATAAGTTTTTCAATGGTTTCCTGAAACAAAATTTAAAAAAATCTATCAAATATTTAAGTTGGTTTATAAGTTAAGGTTAGCAATTTTCTGGAATGCTTACACATATTTATAAGTTAGAAGGAATCTCTTCAATACTTGATAAAAACTTCATATAAGGCAAAAAGCATATTTTTCTCCCAACATAGTACTTAGTAATTGCTCCCAGGGAGAAGAGCTAAGGTAGAAGTAGTAAAGGAAAACACATTCTGCGTTTTCTAGGAATAAGTTCAGCCAAATATAAACCATGGATTAACAGTCAATTTAAGTAGTTATAGCACAGTTCATGAAGGGTAAACTGTTCACTACTGAAAAGCGTCATACTTCTCTTCAACAACTAAGTGTGCCCAACAGATTGAGTGAAAAACATGCATATCCCTGCTCAGGACTAAAGGCCATGCAAAGATCTGAACCGTCTACAACAGACGGCCTCCCAGCTTCCCTTGCCCCGCCATTTCTCTGTCTTCGGTGCTAGTACGGAGTAACCACCTGCACGATAAGATATGGAGGGGTGGGGGAGCACGGCGGGATTTACCTCAAGATTCAGAAGACTCTCTTAAGCCATAATAGAGCTCTATTGGAAAACAGAGGAATAAATACGTACTTATTTTAAGCACTTTTAAGCGCGAAGAGCCAGTACCTTTGTTAAGTGTTGAGCTATGTAACCTCTTCCAGAGCCAACATCCAAAGCAAGAGGAAACGTTCTAGAGAATAAGTTTAGCAACGTCAAACATTATCAGGACTTAAAACCATTTCAAGTTTTAGACTACATTGAGTTTTATCTGTCAATTTCCAGACGCCTTTCCCAACCA